AAAGAGAACTCAAAATGTATTTGGTGCAGTATGACACCACACTAATGCCAAGATTATCACTTTTCATCTTCTCTTTAAAAAAAAAAAAAAAAAAAGGAACAAAACTTGAACTTCTTTGATTATTTATCTTACAAAAAATGAAAAACCGTGGAATGAACATGTCAACATTTTTACAATTTCCCAATACTGAAAAAAATGGTGGCTTTTGCGTCTTGTAAATATTTAGTGCTTACAGTTTTTTTTAAAATTTTGTTTGCATACCTGTCTTCCATCTGCTCTGTGTAAACACTGCCTGCAGTTCACACCAGTTAAGTTGAAAAGTCCTTGAAATTTTGTGATGTGACTGCTGGCTACAGCTCATGCACTAATGGCTTTTCAGTTGTGCTGAGGAGTGCACAATTTTGTTAATTGAGATGTGCACAATAAAGTGATAAATGACGAGTGATTGCACATCGCAGACGAGTTCAAGGACTGTTGGAAATATTGCAATTTCAGTTTTTCAATCAAAAACAAGAAGCTAAAACACATAAAGTGGTGAAGAACAGAGAAGTCTGGTGATAAATCTCTGTGAGTTTGCCACTATTAGTGTCATTTTTCAACACATTTGTTTGACAGTTAATAGAATATATTGATTAGTGCAGCTTTAAAGCCCTTGTGAAGTATAAAATCTGCTCACCTGAGAATCCCAGGTCAGCCATGACAGCATACTTTCTTTCCTGCGCGTTGCTCATGAAAGGCAAGTAAACATCCAACACCAGGAAGGACACACATGCCAAGAAGGCAATCACCCCGATGCCCACAGCGTATTGACACGCAGAGTCATTCTGGTTGAAGATGCATCTAGCTTCAGCACTGTGGATAGGGTTGATGTATCCCTCTGTTGTAATACATGCAAACACCACAACAGCAAATACCTGCAGTGACACAGACAAAAAGAGAAAGTGGCCATTAAGGACAAGTGAAGGAACAGTGTTTTTAAGCTTTTAATGATATGCAAACAAACAAGAAGAACCTGTCCAAGCTAGAAAAGCTTTTCAAGTTTACCCATTAACTGCAATTTGCATACTTTACATTACTGTTAACCCTTTTCAAAAGCTCAACTTCCAGGCAGCCTCTGGTTTCAGTTCATGAAAGCACTGTGTGGACATTTACTAGCAGACTTAAAACACATTAAAAGAAATATGTGATTAGTCTAATTTTGTTTGATGTATTGAGGTGCTTTACTTTAGAAGACTATTCCTTGAGGATGCAGTTAAAGAAACTAGTACATCTGGTATTAAAATTGTCTCCAGTGCTATCTGAGGCTCCACTATGAGAAAATCACTGAAAGACTACAACAAACTGTGGCCACCATCAAAATAAAAAACTATAAAAATGTAAAATAAGAGATGTCAGAATATAAAGATCCTGCCTTACAATCCAGGTTTGTTTGCTTTCTATAGTTGCTTCTGCTAACTCTAAACTGTTTTTATTTTTTAAAGTCAATGTGACTACAGCGATAGGAAAATTCTTGCTGTTACAGTGTGCAGCTATTGTGACTACATTATCATTCCCTTTGATCATAGGCCCAAAGGTCAGAACTAGAAATTGTAAAGCTGAGATACATTCAGAGATATTGTAAACAAATTAAAAATCCAATAAACAAGGACTGGTTGGGTTTTTGCATTTTCAAATCACCTGTTGTCCTTTGGTGCCACCTAAACCTCGACAAGGTTTATATCTGCTGTTGCTCTCCTGCCCTCTGTGCTCACATATGCTGCATTTTAATACAGTGAAAATACCAATAAAGCTGTCCTCATTTATTGTTTTTCTGTTTCTGTTGTTAGACAACAGCAGAATGTATGAAATAGTGACTGAAACGCAACACATAAACACTACATGTTAACCAGCAGTCACTTCAGAGTCATTTCCATTATAACTGATTTTCTAACCGCATCTGAAAAACTTACAGAAGAGTTTAATACAACAGCTGTGCAGTAAATACAACAATATTTCTGTGGTAACTTTAGCTGGAAAAGAACCACTTGACAGCAACGTAGCCGAAGTTGCACTTTATATAAACAAGGGCAAACTTAGCATTACAACCAGAGCTACTCTGCTAACATGTCTTTTGGCTGGAGGTCAAACATACAACAACGCCAGGGGCGGCAGTGTCCATCAGAGCAGAAGTCTCCTTCAAAATAAATGCAACATAAGGAACATCGACCCCTGGTGGGCGCATAGCACTTGCTCTTATTCTGATAAGATTAACTTAATAATGCTCACATCACAACAATTTCCAAGTAAAATTGTGACTCTGAGGGAAAGTTAGAAGCCCTGAGGGCTGTACCACCGAGCAAGATTTGTGGGTTAGCGAGGTATGTTGAGCGTAAAGCCAGAGTTTTCAGTAACATGAAGGTGGCTCTCTTTTTACCTAGCTAGATCTCCATGGTAATGCTGTTGAGCTAACCTGGTCGGAAGCAGGTTATGTTCAGAGTTTCGGATTTAAATCGGCTGGAAAGAGCGTCTCCCTTTAACCAGATCGTTTCCTGGCTATTTTTTATGAGCGATACAGATTCTCAGCTGATGGGAATGTGTTTTATCTGCTAACATGCTGAGATGTGTGTGGTACTAATATCACTGATTGAAGCCATGTAGGTACAATATTGCACACAGTCGGTGGAGACGGAGACCGAGCGCTCCGCACATGCAATACTTTGCTGCTGATGCCAGTTTACGTTGGCGGTCACAGTTCTGTTGCCACCATCGGTGAAAGTGGTGGCGGGGGGGACGGTTAGGTTGCGGGCGAATGTATATCACATATCACCACAACGACCAGTGATACAGAAATCACATAAATATGTTTTTATGTTTGGCTCTGATTTTCTGTCAAGTCCGTTTACAGTGCTGGTATTGAGAAAATTGATTATTCTACTGGTATTTATTACAGAGAATATTCAATCAATAACATTCATTTCACTCTGATTGGGCCAAACAATAAAGGGATATTATTTTATTTTTATTTAACCTTTATTTAACCAGGTGAGTCCCATTGAGATTGACATCTCTTTTACAAGGGAGCCCTGGCCAAGAGGGCAGCAACAAGGTTTACAACAATAAAACACAAAAATAAGCTAAGTAATATATCATCACTATAAGGCATAAATACATGGAGTACATACAGTACATAAAAACTCATTTAAAGCAGCTACAGACTTCTTTTTTTACAGTTTGTAACAAACATTTAAAATCTCCCAAGGAAACAAGGTCAGACAATTTGAGCATTTTCTGGATCAAATTCCAGGACCAAGGGGCATTGTAACAAAACGCAGTCTTCCTGAATGCAGTGAAGGCACGAGGGACCGAGAACAGTAAAATGTCCTGGGAGCGGAGGCTGTACCCACTGGTAAAGCGAACAAGGAGGCGATTTAAATAGCAAGGGAGAAACCCTAAGATGGCTTTGTAGATGAAAATGTGCCAGTGGAGCCATCTGCGGTAATGGAGTGATGTCAGTCCAGACCCTTCATATAAGAGACAGTGATAGGTGAGAGATTTGGCGTTTAGAATAAAACGCAAGGCACCATGATATACAGTGTCTAACACCTTAAGGGATGCAGCAGGGGCATGCATATAAAGAACATCACCATCATCAATCACAGGGAAAAAGGTAGTCATGACAAGTCTCCTTCTGGCAGCGAGGTGAAAACATTGCTTATTTCTAAAATAAAAACCTAGCTTTAATCTGAGTTTTTTGACAAGTCTGTCCAAATGAGTGGAAAAGGTTAGTCTGGAATTAAGCCAAAGTAGGTAGCCAAGGTATTTATAGGAATCCACTAGTTCTATGCACTTTCCCTCAGCAGTGGAGATGTTAGGAGCAGGAGGCCTGGAGTGTGATCTAGAGAAATGCATAACTTTTGTTTTACTCGCATTTAAGACCAGCTTAAGGTTTTTAAAGTCGGCCTGAATCAAAGTAAACAATTTTTGTAAGTGGTGGAAAGCGCAAGACAGAGAGGAAACACAAGAATAAACAATTGTATCATCAGTGTACAGATGAAAGTTAGAAGAATCAGAATCTGTTATATCTCTGCCAATGTTGTTGATATAGATCATGAACAGGATGGGCCCCAGAATGGAACCTTGGGGCACACCCCGAGCAATTGACTTAGGAGATGACCTCTGCCCATCGACAAGGACTGTCTGGGACCTGTCCGAAAGATAACTAGCGAACCAATTAACCGAATTGAGACTCAAGCCAATATCATGAAGCCTATTAATTAAGATGGTGTGGTCCACAGAGTCAAATGCCTTGGATAAATCAACAAACACTGCTGCACAGTGTTTATTATTATCAAGGTTTTGAGTTAAGTCATTCAGCACTTTGGAGGCAGCAGTTATTGTGCTGTGACCAGATCTTAAGCCAGACTGAACAGGGTTAAGCTGACCACTTTTTAATAAAAACTCCTTTAATTGATCATTCACCAGGGATTCCATAATTTTAGCAACCACTGAGAGTTTTGAAATTGGCCGATAGTTGTCAACGTTAGTGGGATCCCCTCCTTTAAAAATGGGCAAAACATATGCCTCCTTCCAAGATTTAGGGATAGAATTAGTGGAGAGGGACAAATTAAACATATATGCCACTGGTTCAGCTATAAGTTCAGCTGAGAGTCTCAGGAGATAGGGTTCCAGACCATCAGGGCCTGGAGGCTTCTTAGGGTCAATAGCTTTTAAAGCCTTAAGGACACAGGCAGCAGAAATGTGTTCAAAAGAAAAACTATGGGAACCTGGAGCCTCTTCAGTCGTAGAAGAGCTGGGCAGGACATTAGATTTCAAACCAGGAAACAAGCGATCAAACAAGTATCCGGCAGAAACAAAGTGTTCATTAAAAAGATCTACAATAGATTGCTTATCCGTTATTGCCTGGGAACAATGAATAATTAGTAAAGGGATATACTGCACTATGGGACAGTGTCAGACCTAAATGTACTTTAACTAGTACTTTAACATGCAGCTGTCAGTTGGAAATAAATCGGCAAAATACATGTTTAATATTTTTCTACCAGCATTCCTGTCTTGCACCATTTGCAGTAGCAGCACTTTTTACCGTCACATTTTTAAAAAATTATATATTCCTCATTGTTCTCCGTTAAAACAACATGCTGACTGAAGCAGCTGCACTCAATCGTTTCAGTTTGTGCAGAAGAAGAGTCACGTGACACGTTAAACGCCCCTTTTTATGTGAACGCGCACAGAGTCTGAAGCAGAAAGTCTGAGTTGAAAGTTTATAACCACCTTTGTGATACCCATAATCTCTGGCTGGGGCTTTCGGTTTTGTCGATTCAGCTTACACAAAGAATGCCTGGCTATGTCAAACTTGCTTCGTAGTATACCCCTCAGGTCCTCCTTAACTGTTTTGTTCTGCTCCGTCAATCACAGACACAGAGAGAGTCTTCTTCAGCTGACGACACAACATTATTCTTAAAAGATGAAATGCAAATCCCAAAAGTTATTCAAAAAATTGAAAAATTTTCCAAGGCCTCAGGTCCATGACTAAACCTTAAGATATGTAAAATATTTTCTCTCCATGATATTCCATATAAATACATTCGCAATATACCAATAAAATCTGATATCAAATATCAAAGAGTCCAGCTCAATAAAGACAAAACAGCATGCCAAACATCTAATATAGAAAATAAACTTAAAGAATGTAAAACTAAATTGAACATATGGCTCCAAAGAGATTTATCAATTCTAGGACATATATATTTGACAAAAATTGAATGTTTATCCCGATGTATTTACCCCCATACTCAAATCCAATTTCAAACAACTTAACAAAATCAATTAACCAGATCAATTACAACTTTATTTGGCGAAATAAGCCACATTACATGAAGAAAGGCCGTATGATCAAAGAAGCCAGTGAAGGTGGTCTAAAAGTAATGATTTAGATTGCCTCAATGGAACATTAAAGATCAATTGGATAAAATCTTGGATAAAAAATTGTAACTCACTATGGTATTGTATCCTTAACATTTTTTTTTAATTAGGTGGTTTAAACCTTTTACTTGTTTGCAACTTTGATATCCAAAAGCCTCCCATATCCTTGTCAGAGTTCCATAAACAAATTTTGCTCTACTAGAAAATGTTGTACGTTCATAACTTCTCTCCACACACAACTGTAATTTGGAACAACAGATATGTCCTACATTGCAACAAATCTTTATTTTACAAAGAATGGTTTGAAAAAAATATTTGGTCAGTTTTTCACCTTATGAACAATAGAGGAAATCTTTTAAATTACGAGCAATTCTGTTTTAAATACAACTTTTACACCTCTCATTTAGAATTGTTACGTTTACGTAATGCACTGCCTAAAGAATTTATTTTTCTATCCAAAAACTCTTTAGTCAACCAAATTATAACTAAAACACATTTACCCACTCCCAAGATACATGGGTTGCCAATCTCTAACAAAAAATGTAATAACTCATTTATTAGAAAATTTTTAAACAATGAATTATTTCCTGGACTTCAAAATAAAAACGGCATGCTATCCAAATTTGACAAAAAGACTACAGCGAAACTCAGAACGATGTATTTATCATTTCCAGTTGCTCCCAAAGTGAAAGAAACACACTTCAAAATTATGAACGATATCTATCCATCCAAAGAATTATTAAGAATATACTTCAATATTCAGGAAAATAACTGTACTTTCTGTAATACAAATATAGAAACTACTGACCATTTATTTTTTGATTGTATCATTGTTCAAAAATTTTGAATAGACTTGTATGAATGGGTAAAATCCTTTTTTCCTTCAACACCTGTCAATTTCTCAAGAGATGATGTAACATTTGGTATTCTGGTAAATAACAAAAAAGAAGAACTCTGTCTTAATGTAATTCTATGTATTGCTAAATTCTGTATTCACAAATGTAAATGTCAAAGATGTTCCCCTATTATTTCCTTCTTCAAAAATGATCTTAAATTGTATTTGAAATCTTTGGACCGAATGAAAAAAAAAAAAGCTGTCAAATTGCAATCCTACTTTACTGAATACCTCCCAGGCGAAGAATTGATGTAATTCCCCCATAGACTTTGAACTCCTTCCCTTGCACACTCTATAAGCAACGGGCTGACTTTTGCACTTTTTTTGTTCCCACTCATTTCTGTCTACATTGACATCAAAGAAGCCATGTTTGTCAAAATGCACTTGTTTTTTAATTTAAAAAAAAATAAAAAATAAAAAAGAGTCTTCTTCCTGAAGGATGAAGTGACAGCAGCAGCTCAGCTGAAATTAAAGCTACAAACACAGGAACTCAAAACAGGGCTAAAACCAAGAGTTACACTCTTATGGTAAAATGAACCATCTTTGTCGCATTTTCAGCTTAGAAACTGAAACACTTGTAATAATTTGCTGAAAAGGAGGCACAACATGGAATCTTTGACATTTACATCTATTGTATTTTTTACTTTTAGAAACTGGCTAAGTTTTGTCTTAAAACAGCATCATAAAAAAAAGAGTATTTTCTTATCAGTTGCTCTTAAAACATCCCTCGGCTCTCGAGCTCATCTTGCCAACTTCTGCCTGGTTCCTCTGACCTTCCCGTGGTTGGCCGCTGATATCTGCTCTGATTACCCACCTAACCATGTGACCTACTTCTGAGTGCAGCTGCCTGCCATGTGATTCCAGAGATGCCACCAGCTCCCTAACAACACTCATAATGAGATCTGGGAGGAAGACAGAGAGGGACTGTTTAACCGGTGGGAAGGAAGAGAGACTGCAATCCTGCTGGTGGGACGAGCCCAGTGATACAGAAAATGAGCCGGAGACCAACCATTAGGGAAGCAAATACAGTGAGAGTTCCTAAACATGAGACAGAAGTGAGATGGGGATTTTTGGAGGAGCAGATGGATGTTTCTGTAAATGAACATGCAGAAAGTGTTGGCGTGCTGAGCGACAGATCTCAAATAGATACCAAACGAGTTTGACTTGATGCACTTTTGCAGATTTTCCCTTGTTACAAAAGCAGGTGTGGTGCATTATGGGACCTGTAGGCAGAGTTGCAGAGCGAACAATTCACCCTTGCACCACAGGTTTTGCCTTAGAGAAGCAGGATAAAAATCACCAGAGATACACGGTGATCTAGTCAGAATGAATATGAGATGAGTTGTGCACAGCTGACAGGCAGATCAGCATGACTAAGAGTAAGAATGAGGGTCAGCCGGGGAGAGGCAGGTATCACCTTACCTATTAGCCGCTGTTTACCAGCAACACACACATAATCCCTCTTACACACTTGCACAGTTTTCCAAACACCAATATTTTTCCTCCAGTATAGGTAATACCTGTGGGCACTTGGACCAATAATGTGCATCTTGATATCATGTATTCTCAATGTTTGCAAAATAAATAAATAAATTCTACTTTTGGGTTTGTCCTTTTTATGATTTAGATCATACCACACAGAAAACATGTTTGAGTTCTCTCCACCTCCAGTCATGGAGGTGCAAGACTTTACGTTGCAGCGAAAAATGAGCTCTCAGGGAGTCAAAATAAGACGGGAGCAAAGAAACCCAAACATCTGTTTCAGAGGGGTAACCAAACGGATCACAATAAACCACATGTAGCATCTGTGAGAAGATATGATTTCCTTTTTACCAGGGAGATGTTGAGATCAAGGACGGACAAACCTGTTTAAACCTTCAGTCTCTGTGCTGGTAGTTACCCAGAGTAGGACAACAGAGTATTTCACTCAGAGTATCAAGTGTGCCTTTGAGATTCATTGTGAACTTTGCACATCAGTGTCCTAATCACAAAAACAAATCTGTGCCATAAAGTTTGCCTAGCAACAGGTGATCAGGGGTGTGAGACAGCTTCCCAGAACTGTCCCAGGTGCATGAATTCCCCTCTCTGTGTAAACATGTGTCTGTATGACCTCCTCAGAATGACAACTACCAACATTACCGCGCCCTATGCAAGTTAAAACACATCAAAAGTGGACCAAACAGTTTATATTTAGCTTTATTTTTTAGCTTGTGCTGTGCTTCAGGAAGTGAGGGTCTGTGTGTGTGACGGTTTTGTGTCTTTGTCCTCTGGCAGCAGCAGTGTTGCCCTGCGCTGTCACCGAGCCGCTGTCACGGAGCAGCTGCATGAAACTCGACTCCCGGTGGACACGCTGCATTAAAGCAGAAATAACAAATATAACGTCAAACCACTCCACAGCTCAGGGGCTCCTGGCCAGACGCACCTGTTCACAGCGCAGGCCGAACCTTCTTTCTGCCTCATCTGAAACTTTGCAGCGACTTTAACACACACAATCCTGCCCGATCGGTGTACTCACCCAGCTGAGCAGCCTCACGATGGTCTGCGGTTGTCGGACGAAGTTGAAAAAGTTGAAGCCTCCTCCTGCGAGCGCAGCCCCGTATGCACTAACACCGCCCGTCTCCTCCATGTCTCGGATCCTTTATGGCTCTCTGTGCGGGCTCGAACCGACCTGACAGCTCAGGCTTCCTACCGACTAGACTAAAGCTAAAACCTGCTGCCACCTCCTGCAGCGCTGCTTCACTGAAGCCACTCCGAGGAGCTGCGCAAAAAGGCGTGCGTAAAAGGGGCGGAGCTCAGTGGGGAAAACGATCATGTGTGGCCTGCTATCATTACTTAACCCTCCCCAGCAATGTATTTTTAGAGATAAAAAACGCTCATGTTCATTCTGAAAGGACACGACAGACGAGTATCAGATGTTTATTTAACCACAACAGTCTGTGTTTACAGAGCAAACATCCTCGACTCCTTAAACTAGTTCATCCTCCAGCGTCTTCTTCTCTTCTTCAATTTCAGGCAATTCATCCACTGAGGCTTCACATGGCTGTGGAGGACACAACCAAAAGTTTGACTGGATGTTTGTAACCAACTGAATGATGTAATAAATCCATCAGATCTCACCTGATCAAATTCATCTCCTCTGGCTGTTTTCACCACATCAGGATCCTCATTGTACACTGATAAGTCCTACAAGAAAAGAGGGTTAAAAGGTACTTGCCCTGTCAAGATAAATATGGTGAAATATTATATGCTTGCTCCTGTTAGTGGATGAAAAAGAGAAATACTGACTAACCAGGTCACCCTCATATGCAGCATTCATTCGCTCCATCTCCAGGTTCCACCTAAGAAGAAAGTGGTTTTATACTCAGTCAGCAAACATGCCGAATTTGGAGGTCATCAAGACTGCTTCGGGGTATAAACAACAAACTGAGAAGGTTTACATAATCCATATTAACCATTATTTTATAGAGGTGATTCAGAGATTTATTTTGATCATTAATATTTAAATTTGATGACCTGGCAAAAAAAAAATAATCTAATATCAATAAAGCAAAAGAACCATAGTGTTTGTTCCACAGAAGTTAAATCATCGGCATTTAACATTCACATCATTGTATAGAAACTCCATGATTTTTTAAAATTTATTTATTTATTATTTATTTATTTTTACCAAACTTAACATTTAATGAATAAAAACCAGAAAAAAGTAATTTTCTGAGTTTCAAATGTTTAATTGATAAACATTTTTTAAAATAACCCTTTCTTCATTCACATCTTTATCCGCTCATTCACGGAACAGTGCTTTTGACAACTGAATGCTGATATGTTAAAATAACGAGCAGTGGTAAAGTTGCTATATTGAAAATCGTGTAGCACTTTGCATGTATTATTTTTATTGCTAATGTGCAAAAAGAACGTAGCCTAAAAGATTAGACCTTCCTGACTGACTCTGTTGCCCATAGCAGGCAGCAAACGGAATTCTACGTAAAGTGCTCATGGCAATTCCATCCATCCAGCCATTATCTATACACAGCTTGATCCTCACTAGGGTCGCGGGGGGGGGGCTGGAGCCTATCCCAGCCGACTTGGGGCGAAGGCAGGGGACTCATGGCAATTTTTCAGGAAAATCAAATAAAAGATGTATGTAGCAACTAGAGATGCGCCGATCCGATACTGGGTATCGGTATCTCGCCGATACTGGACGAAATTACGGTATCAGATGATTTACTTCACAGTGGTAACTGGCCGATCCCATACCGCCACACACACACAATCCTGCCTTCCGACACATCCACGTGTTCGTCTGCTCACTGGCTACAAGTTTACAGCGTCAGAGAGTGTCTGCAACCCCACTGGTCGAATCTACAAGGGTGGAACTTGTCCGTACCGGGTTGACTGTCTGAGACACTCCATTGGCTCTTCAGGCTGTCACTCACCCCCCAAAGCCCTCGTATTGGCCAAACTAGGTGTCAATCAAAAAGCTGAGACGTCCGTCTAGCTGACTGTAGCGCTTTCAACGCGATCTAAAATAGATTCAGCCTGATTTTGCCAGAAGAAATGAATAAAACAGCTGATCTCAAGCTGGGAAGACATTACTTCAGAATTTGTGCCTTTGAGGATC